AGAGGACGATATCCGCTTCGTCATGCCTGGAGCTGATCCGTGCTGGTCGCTGAGGAAATACATCAACTTCGCGCTGTCAATCGCCGGATCCGCTTTCACCGTGGACGAAGCTGTGTCCAGCCCGGGGTCATCACATATGGTTGCCGCAAGCCTTCTTCGTCGAATTTGCCGGGCGCCGCTCACTCAAGCCGCTGTGTGTTTCGTTGTGAAAGCGATATAAACCTTTTTGTATAATTTTTTTATATATATAAAATATCAAACCAACAGAAGTTCTTACAAACTGAAATTATATTACAGATTTCCAGTTAAATGTCCTCATGAAACTAGATAAAATAATTGCAAAACAGGAAGAGCATTCTCTCTTGCTTCGGCGGCTAATGCAGACAAGAGAGGAAGACACAGGGCCAGAGAACCCTATCCCATCTATTGGTCAGTTACCTGACTTCCTCAGAAGTTTGGTCACAGTTTAGCCTCAAAGGAAGGAAGGGGAAGAGGAGACTTGAAGAACTCTCTGTTTATCGAGTTCTAATAAGTATAAAAAAATCAACAGTATTTGCATTTATTTTATTGTATATTCTATTGTATTTTCAATTATCTTTGATTTAATATCAAGAAGCATTGCATTATAGTGACAGAATTCTACATGATTGGCAATACAAATGGGATGAATACCTTTTTGTTCAAATGTAAAGCATACTTGTTCATCTCTAAAAACTTTACTTAAACCATTTAGGGGCAATAATGAAATCACAACCTGGGTCTACTAGCATGGATGCTGAAAGCCAGATTGCAGAGACCCTTAAACATGCACCAGGTCTGGTTAGGAGAAAGGCTAATGTGAGTATTTTGACAATGTATTATATTACTGACAATATGTATGTATAATATATTATACTTTTTTCTTGCCCAGCCAACATTTTCACTGGCTCTGCCACAAAAATAAAATAGCTGTTTTTATTGTTGTTTTTGATCCTTATCTTGTATTCTCATAAATAAACGTATGGCAAAAATGTAGATTAGTTAAATATAAGGTAAATATAAGAGAAACAAGTGAACAAATTACAAACAATAGCACAATAAATAGAACAGTTTGTAGGTGATCAGGTACAGAAATTGAATAAATGTAATAATATTGCATATTCCTCACTGTATAAATTAAATATAGATGAATCATTGTTAATGCTACAAAAGTTAATCAGTCAAGAGCAATGAGTGTTTTTTTTTGTTTTAATATTAACATTAAGTACACTGACAGCAGTGAGGTCACTTTAGATGTGTATGCGTCCAATATATTAATACATATACGATTTTTCTCAATTTTTTAGTCAAGTCAAGTCAAGTCTGCTTTATTGTCAATTCTTTACTTTTTTTTTCTTCCCTCAAAGTCTCAAGGCTACAGTTAAGTGCAAATCAATGTTTTTAATATACACTAAATTAATCCAAACTAAAAACCCAAGTGTGAGATTTTTAATATTGCTTTAATGTTCTGTACAGCTGATATTGACATGACACTAAGTTTGACATTTAATTTTACAGCGATCAGTTACCCCACATTTACAAGATGGTTCATTGGACTTCTTCTCATAATTTTAAGTAAGTATTCAGAGACTCAGCCTTATGGGTAGTACAAGCACCCTACACCCTGCACCCTATGTCACCCTACACTTTTCTCACTATCTTTTTCTTTCATATCTGTACTATCCTGTTATAATAAGGACCTAAAATAAAATTAAAAAAAATAACTATTAAACTGTTTAAAATAAAGGTATCAAACGACTGAAAAGACTACGCTAATGTGATGTTTCTGTCAGGAGTCAGGTTTGATCTTTGTCTCTCTTTTATAACTGTTGCTCTTTTTTCTATTGGCTGCGCTCAGCTGATTGCGGCTATGTTTCTTTCCTTTCATTTTTCTGCTATAGTGTACTTTATTTCATTGAGAGATTATTTTGTACTGCCTGCTCATACATGTGTCCTGTCCTGTCGTATCAAGATCCTATTTGTGTCCTCCTATATTAATGGCTTGCTATTTGATTTTGCTCCGTCTTGTTCTCTGCCCAGTTTTACCTGCCTGCTGCACATCATTCTCTGTCCCCGGATTGTCTGCCTGGTTTTGACTTGTGCCTGCCGACTGGTTTCTGCGCTTGCCTTTTCCTCTGGATTTGTTTATCTTTATTGGACTGTTGGTGTCTACCGAGTCCGACCTTCCCGTCTGCGCTCCCCTGTCCGCCGTGTTCTCCAGTCCCGAGTCCACCTCATCAGCCGGTGACCTGCTGACATGTCTCAGCTGCTTTTCTTTTGTTCAGCAAACGTTCTCAAATGCCTTTTTTTAAGCTTTTTTATTTGTAGTCTATTATATTTGAGCTAAATATAATTAATATAACGTAGGCCTACTTTTTTTTTGTAAATGTATGTTTTGGTAGTGTAATTATATGTATGCAATGTTTTAATAAAGTTGGATTATATGAACTTGTATGGCATTTTTCCTCTTTAAAGTTTCATAGCAGGTTTTACGTTAAAAAGAACAAATAATGATTAACAGTATTTGAAAAAGTATTACATATTTATCTTGTGTGTGATTATTAAGAGCTTCACCACAAAAAAATACATACATAAATAAATAAATAAATAAATAAGACGCAGAAAAGGTAATATTTATAATCTGGCATAAAAATAAATGTGGTCGGAACGTCGTCTCGCAGTTGCTGAATGTCGCGTAACAACGTTGCTACAGCCCTTTCGCGTCTTACAATTCAACGTTGCTACAATGTCGGGAGCACGTAGACAGCAACTATTTTTACTACAGTAAAAAAATGGAACGTGGCAGCGACGTTGACAACGTAAATGTGTTTGTTGGGCTGTAGGTAGCGTATTCATTCTGATGTAAAATTAACGGTCGCCGGAGGGCGCTCTACGACCATTATCTTATCTGAGCTCAAAACGCTGCTCGGGAGAGTTTCAAGATACTAAAAATAATAAATACATACAATTATGAATATGTGTTAATGTGTGTTTATTTTTGTTCTCAGTAATTTAACAGTATGATTATGAACATAAAAGCATTACAAAACAAATACCATCAATGAAACCACAAAGCTGTCACGGAGGTATGTATAATTACAAAAAAGTAATTTTGAGTGTTATTGCTATTAATATTATTTACATGTAATATATGTGACGAAGATGTTTTTGCAACAGCTCCAAGTCTCACGTGCAGTGCATTCGTCACCGTCCGAATCCGTTCACTTATTTCGTTCACTCCTTTCTGATTTAGTCCACTCAACTGCCATACACTATATAGGGATTGAATGAGTGAACGAGTGAGCGATTTCGGACACAGCTCTAATATTTCAGAACACCGGCGCCGACTCCACGTCACTGTCACGTGTGGCATCAAATTACCGCGATAGCGTTTCGAGAGCAGCCGGCTGACTCAGCTGGCGCATATGGCAAGCCGTTGGTCGAACGCACCTAGTATTTTCGTGCCGTGGCGTTGAGGGCGGGAACATATGTGACGTAGCCACGCGCACTTACAGACTGTCTCGTTCTAGCGTTTAATGCCGAGGAGGACTCTAGCCAACAAGCCTCTGAAGGACTGAGCTAGGAAGGACGCATGGGTAGGATGCAGGCAGCCTTTGTTTGAGAAGCACCCTGTGGTTCAAATTCGGCAGCATATTAAATATTTCACATCCGGGAACTACAGGAATTGCAGTAGAGTACAATGCATAATCTCTATCTGCTGTTAGCTGGCTCACCAGCAGGTGGTGCAAGCAAGCGGGTGTATAGGAAGACCCAAGCACAAATTACCTAGATTAGAACAAGTGACTTTTCTTACATGTATTTGTGACTTTGAAATGATCTCACTCAGTTTGCTTCACAGATAATCAATTTTAAAAATGAACAAAATCGTATTTACATTAAGTTTTGTTTTCAAAAAATAGAAGGGAGTATCATTTTGCCAGTAATTTTGACCTGCCAGCACATTAATGTTTTAATGCTTTTCACTGTTAGTGTTATACTGTACAGTTGGTGATGCTGAAAACCTTAGTTCCTGTTCATAAGGTGAATCTAGTTAAATATGTTTTATTTTGTGTCACCTACTTACTCTTAAAATATCAATAAAATACAATTTACTATCTATAAAATACCTATGAAGGACTGATGTTTTAGAAATTATAAGGAAAATTAATGGATGAATAGAATATTGCTATAATTAAAATCAACTAAAATTAAAAATTAAACCGGCACATGGATGATGGATGGAGAAGTGATTTTTGCGAGCCATGGCGCGCCCTCTGTCGGGAGAAAGGAATATGTCTGGTTTTCGTCCGGGATGTTTATTTGTGCTGGAGGCTGTGCATCGCGTGACATATACACTGACGGTCAAGGGTGCGGAAGTTATAGACTCTACACATTAAACGCTTAATTTACTGTTTTTTCCCTTCTCTTTTGGACTCTGATCTAATTATAATTCAGCAGATGGAGTCTCAGTGTAAAGAGGAACCCGTGCTGCACATCGTGGTGGTGGGATTTCACCATAAGAAGGGCTGTCAGGTAAGAGAGTCCTCATGTTTGTTAATAAATATTAATCTGCTTTAAACAGTGGTGTGCTTCACTATCACCCTTACATGAAAGTGGCTTTACCATTGCATCGTGTGTTATTTACCATGGCACTCTGAAATACAGTGTAGAAAAAAGAGCAGCTGGAGGAGCACTGAATGATTAATGAATATAAATAATAAACAAAGCCTGTAATTCAGTACTGATGGTGACAGAGTGTGTGAGATCAAGCAGTACTGCCCTTTTCCTCTCCTCAAACACACACAAACACACACACGTTTTATCATGCAGGCCTTTTACATGTGTTTTTTCACCCACAAAAGTTAGCAAAGTATGAATAACACTTATTGTTTGAGTATTTGTTTATTAGTGTGTGCACTCCCATGAAAAAACTTCAGTCATAAGTCATAGAGCAAAACCTTATTTATTAGGGATGCACCGATACCACTTTTTCCAGTACTCGCCCAATACCGATACTTTTATTTTTGGTACTTGCCGATACCGAGTACCGATACCGATATTTTTATTGCATTTGTACATTTTTTAAATATTGGGTATAGAAACCAAAAGGGTATGTATAATGTTAGTTGGTTAACTTCATTTATCAAATAGATACAGTCAAACACAAATTTATTCAGACACCTTCAACATTTCTCACATTATCACAGTTTATTCGCTATAGTTTAGAAAATGGTAATAAAATATGACAAGAACTCAGAGTTACACTGTGTCAGAACAAATTCATCTTGATAATGTTAGATAATTTTGATAGAAAGGTATGTAATAGATTACAATCAACCAAAATAATTCAGACAGCTGTTAGTATGACAGTATTTACACAACTATGAATACTTTGTCGGGCAGCCCTTAGCCTTAATGACAGCATGTAGTCTCCTGGGCATGCTGTCACCCAGCTTCATGAAAACCTCAACTTCAGTTTTTTTCCCAGACTCGGTCTGAATAATTTTTGGACCCAAATTTGTATCAATTTTACTGGTAGTCCACTGTATGAAGAAATTTTGGGTAT